ATTACTGCATTTTGAAAGTGTCCGTTATTTAACAAGAAACCTGTAAAACAAAATTTCTAGCTTTGTACAAAAATTGGGAAGTTTCGAAAAAGTTTCATCAAAATGTTGAGCTTTTTAACTGGATTTCTTAGTATATTAAAGTGCAAATTTGGAGTAGCTAGGACTTTCCGTTAACTTTTGGCAATTTTGTTTGGGGAAGGTGTTGCTGATTTTTTCCATACAAAGAAAATAAAGGTCGAACTTCCTTTGAATGGAATAAAATGCGTGAACAAAAAATTGTCAAAATTCAACGGTATTTCAAACTTGCACATTATTATACTAAAATGTAATGGGCTACCAAATTACATACTCAAAAAAAGTTCTACAAATTCTGATTATAAAGTTTTAAATATTGATGAACACTTGTAAAAATTCGTCGAAGAAGCTCGGCCAAACACTTAGCAAATTCTAATAGCGTTTTCTTTTCTCGAGAAACTGTTGCAATTATTCTGCCCTGCGTCAGGGCTGCCAAGTTTTTGTGTTCTTTTCTCAGCATCTTCACACGCATATTGCGTGCTCTTTCTTTAAAATCTTGCACTCTAATAATGTTGCCATATAAGAAGTTGTCATTTTTTTCGAGAAAAGAATACCCCATAAAAGTTCCAAATATTTATATATTTTTATTATAACTATTCGTAGATATAGGTTCGTATGACTATAATCTGAGAAAAAAATAATTGCATTCACAAAAGTTTTCACCAAGATTAAGAGTCAAGTTTCTGAGGGCCACATAATTCGAAAGTAAAGCAATTTCTGCTGACGGAAATTGCCGCCATTGTATGCGGCGTTAATACTCCATTGACAAGTAAATATCAACAGTGAATGCAACAATCACAGCAACAAAAATGGCAGCATGTACGCATATATATATGTATATGTTTGTATTAAGTGTATGCCTGCTATGAATGTTAATCTTGGCAGGTAATCCCGGGATTTTAGGGATTTGCAATTTACACTGGTGGCAATAATAGGAACTCCTTTTGTTAACCAGTATTGACTATATTTCCTTTTTTATTCAATAATTTATATTTTTTTATAAACGTCTAGCTCATTACATATATAAAGCCGTGCGATTTTTTTCTAATATCCGCCTTCGGTTCGTCAAATAGCTTCCAACGCAAATATAAAAGTAACTACGAATCTACATATATGTACATACGTACATACTAACAGCGAACAAAAGCAAAACTGTGC